GGGAAAGCCAAGAATTTGATTATGGGGCAGGGGTTTGAAGCTTGAACCTCAATGGGACCCCAGGAAATGACTCTGCACCCCACCCCACTGGCTTCCTTCTCCCCCCCCCCCCTCCCCGCAGGAGAGACATGTGAGGACCGGGGCAAGGTGTACGATGCAAATTGTGCCAACGGCTGCCCCCGCACCTGCCTGGATTCCTGGGAGCACGTCGAGTGCCTGCAGGGGCAGTGCAGGGAAGGTAACTCGTTCCACTCCCCACTGTTCGAGCCCCCCCCCCATCGTAAATCCGAGGACTAGCTTTTAAATTGGTCATTTGGCCCCTCTCCTCCCCTACCCCCTGCTCCCCCCACCTCCCCACAGGTTGCCGGTGTCCCGAGGGGCAGCTTCTGCAGGACGGCTCCTGCGTGCCAATCCCGGCTTGCCGCTGCGGTCTCACCACGGCGAACAGCAGCGTGGAAGTCCTCCCTGGCCAGTTGGCAGAACTGGATTGCCACAATTGGTGAGTGGAGGGTGCGGGGTGGGGGAGGCAGAGGAGGCGGGGTTGGACTAGGTGACCTCCAAGGTCCCTTTCAACTCCCTTAATTCTGTTATGCGGTCCTTCTGTGATTTGTGTTCTGTGCTCTTCTGCTCTTCGGACTCGGCTCTTTCAGTTGTTCTGTTGTTCTGTCATGCTCTTCTCTGGTTATTCTACTGTTTCATTTCGTTGTGTTGCGTTTCTTATTTTGTCATTCTCTTACTTTGTTGTTCTGTCCTTCTGCTGTTCCGTTGCTCAGCTCTGTCTGTTGTTCTGTTATTCTCTTGTTTTGTTATTCCGCTGTTCTGTTAGCCTTTCATTTTGTTTTGTTATATTTCTTCTGTCATTCTGTTTTTTTGTTCTTCTGTTGTTTTGTTGCTCTGCTCTTCTCTTCTGTTCTGTTCTGTTCTTCTCTTCTTTTGTTACACTGTTATTTTCTTATTCTGCTGTTCTGTTATTCTGTCATTCTATTTTCTTATTATGGTATTTTTTAATCGGTCATTATTCTGCTCTTCTGTTGTTCTGCTCTTCTCTTGTTACGTTATTTCGTTGTTTTGTTATTCTGCTCTTCTGCTGTTCTGCCATTCTATCGTTCTGTTTTGTTAGTCTGTTCTTTCTTATTCTGTTATTCTGCTGTTATGTTGTTCTGCTCTTCTTTTGTTGTGTTATTCTGTTTTGCTTTCTTATTCTGTCATTATTCTGCTGTTATGTTGTTCTGCTCTCGAGTTTTTGCTTGAGCCTCCAGAGTGCAATCTGGGAGGAGGAGTTCTGTTCTGTTGCTCCGCTCCAAGATTGTTCTGTCATTCTGTCCTTTCGTTATGCTGATATTCTCTCGTTTTGATCCTCTCTCGCTCTGTTATTTGGTTATTCTGCTGTTCTGTCATTCTGTTGTTCCATTATTGGCTTATTCTGTTTTGCTCAAGCAGCAAATTCGGGGTACTGAAAACAGGGGGGGACAATCTACCCCGGTTAAGGAGGTTGTGGTGGGGGGTTCAAGTTCGGGTCTAACCCACTCAGATCATGCTTCACTTTTTTTGTACAACACAATCCCCACTTAATTGTGCGACGAAAAGCACTCCAGCTTTTCCACTTGTGGAAATTAAGACGCCCTTCATGGCTTGCCGCGTCTTTGGTGCCTGGTTTTTTTTTTTTTTTTTGTGCTCCAGCACCTGCCAGAACGGCTCCTTCTCCTGTCCGGAGGAGAAGTGCCCGTCTTACGGCGAGTGGTCGGCGTGGAGCCCTTGCTCGGCCACGTGTGGAGGGGGCACCACCCTGAGGCATCGGTCCTGCCACGAGACTCTCCACGGAGTGCCTTGCGTAGCTGAGTCCATGGAAGGCACCGCGCGCTGCAACTCCCAGCCCTGTCCAGGTGGGATTTTTGTGGGGGGGTTGCACGAGATGGGAGGGGACCTAAGGTGCAGCCACCCCTCTGGCTGCTACTTCCAAGAGGGGAGGTAGTCCTCAACTTATGACCCTTTATTTAGTGACCAAGGTGCCAAAAAAGGGACCGCTGACCATGTTTCACATTTACGACCACAACCATAGGATCAAAATTGTGACAGGCTCAGATTTACGATGGGGGCAGCCCTCCCGCTTTGGTGGCCTTCTGACTGGCAGAGTTGAGGGGGAAGGGAGATTCCCTTTAACGACTGTGTGGCTCAGTTAAGATTCACTTAGCGGTGGCATCAAGGGAGGTTGGGAAAAACAGGGCCGAACTCGCTGGACAGATGTCTCACTTAGCAATGGAAATGTTGGGCTCCACGGTGGTCATAAGGACATGAGGACTTCCTTCCTTCCTTCTTTCCCCCTCCTTCCTTCCTCCCAGTTCTTCCTTCCTTCTTATCTTCCTCCCTCCCTCCCTCCCTCCTTCTCGGTCCTTCCTTCCTTCCTCTCAATTCTTCCTTCCTTCCTTCCTTCCTTGCTCTCATCTTCCTCCCTCCCTCCCCCCTCTTGGTGATTCCTTCCATTCTTCCTCCCTCCCTTCTTCTCTCCCTCTCAGTCCTTCCTTCCTTCCTTATCTTCCTTCCCCCCCCCCTTGGTCCTTCTTTCTTTATTCCTTCCTTCCCTCCTTCCTCCCATCTTTCCTTCCTCCCATCCTTCCTTCCTCTTGGTCCTTCCTTCATCTCAGTCCTTCTTTTCTGCTTTCCTCCTACTTTCTTCCTCTCAGTCCTTCCTTTTCTTCCTTCTTTCCCCCTCCTTCCTTCCTCTCAATTCTTCCTTCCTTCCTTTCTTCCTTCCTCCCTCCCTCCCGCCCTTCCTTCCTCTTGATCCTTTCATCCTTCTTTCCCACTCCATCCTTCCTTCCTTCTCATCTTCCTCCCTTCCTCTCTCTTTCAGTCCTTCCTTCCTTCCTTCTTATCTTCCCTCCCTCCCTCCCCTTTGGTTCTTCTTTCTTTATTCCTTCCCTCCTTCCTTCCTTCCTTCCTTCCTCCCTCTTCCATCGGTAGCCCTCAACTTACAACAATTCTCCCCCCCCCCCCGTCTCCCCACAGCTGGCTGCCTGTTCAGTGATTGGACCACATGGAGCCCCTGCAGCGCCAGCTGTGGAGGAGGGGTCTCTGAGAGGCACCGCCAGCTGCTCTCCCCTCTGGGGGAGCCCTGCCCCTCCCCGCTCCTGCAGCACCGCATATGCCACCTGCAGAATTGCACACTGGGTAAGCCTCGGTGCCTGTTCAGGAAATGTAGCTGGTGGGATGTCCGAACCGGGAACGGGTTCTTGAAAAGGACAGTAAGGGTTAGGGGTTAGAGCAGACCTGGGTGTTCTATACCCCCACGCCTGGCCCTTTGGCATGAGGTGACTTGGAAATTAAAAGTAGACATAAATAATGAGCAGAGTGCAGGAGAAGAAGTCGAATCCCCTCCGACTCTGCGCAGTCATTTTCTTCTTTGGTCAACCAGCGCCCTCATGTGGCCGTCTTGGGAATATTAATTATCCACCCTTAAATTAGAGGATCAAGTTTAAGGGGATTAAAGAATAAGAGGAAGGATAAGATTAGGGAAATAAGAATAGGGGTTAGGGGGAGTAGAATTGGGATTAGGAGGTTAGGGTTCAAGGTTGGCAGGGGTCGTGGGGATTAGCATTAGGGGATTAGGAGCATAGGAGTTTAGGGGATTGGAGGTAGGGGTAGGAGTAGGATTTAGGAATAGGGTTAGGGGTTTTGGCTGGAGGAGTTTAGGATTGCGGTGAAGGTAGGGGCAGGGGAGTAAGGGTAGGGGGAGATTATGGTTAGGGGATTAGGAGTTAAGCTTAGGGGTTGTTTATGGGGATTGTGGTTAGGGGGTTAGAGGTTGAGGGTAGGAGGTTTGGATTACAGGGTCTTCCCAACTATCAGCAACTGAGACTGGGGCGTGGGGGCTCTGCGCCCACTCTCTGCCTTTCTTTCCCAGAATGCCCTGGGACCCAAATCTACCGTGATTGTGCCAACACCTGTCCGCACACCTGCTCTGACCTGCGACTGGAAATTCAGTGCCTGCAAGAGGAATGCCAGCCTGGCTGCGTTTGCCCACCTGGCCAGGTAAGTGTCAGCCTCCCCCGCCAAGCCCCATCCAAACAGCCCCTCCCGCCTCCATCTACCGCCATGTTTTCCCCAACCTAGCCCTTCTAAATGCAATGCCAGTTGGAGAATTCTGGGAGTTGAAGTCCGGACATCTTAAAATGGCTGCTGGTGGAGAAATATTTTCTCACCTGGGGGATTCTGGGAGTTGAAGTCCGTTGCTAAGCTGGGGGAGTTGAAGCCCAGACCTCCTAAAATGGCCCCCGGTGGAGAATTCTGGGAGTTGAAGTCCAGACCTCTTAAAATGGCCACCAGTGGAGAAACGTTGCTCAGCTGGGGAATTCTGGGCATTGAAGTCTGAGAAACCCCGGCCTGCTGTCCCACAGGTGCTGCAGGACGGGCTATGCGTCCACCCGGAAGAGTGCCGCTGCGTGATCAGCCAGGTGCCGGCCGCGCCCTGGGCTGCCAACCTATCCGAGGAAAAGCGCACCCAGGAGCATGGGCCCGGTAGTACTTTTCGACACGAATGCAACACCTGGTGAGCCAGTCCCAGTTGGGCGACCAATCCAAAGAGGCCAAGGGAGACCCTAACCCTCAAAGGGAACCCCGAATTCGCATGGGATCCTGGGCACCCCCAGCCTTCCCCAACCTGGTGCCCACCAGCCTGTCCTTCGGCTCTCGAACCCCACCTGGGTGTGAAAAAAAACAGCCCAGCGAATTCTTGTCCCCGTTTTACGGCTTTCCCCATCGCTAAGGGAATCCCTGCAGATTTCAGGGTTGGGAAGTCCATCCAGCTTCCCCGTCGCCAAAAGGGGAACCACGTATACCCCAGGAGGCCGCCAACCGTCGTAAACACGAGTCGGTGGCGAAGCTGCAACCATCGTAAATTCGGAGAAATGGTCCTAACTCCCTTTTTTCCCTGGCGTTGGGACTGAACAGTCGCTAAATGGTCGTAAGGGTGAAACAAGGTCATTCTCCCACACCGTTGTCGCCTTTGAACGGCCACTACATCCACTGTTGTAAGCCAAGGCCTGCCCACATTCTCCCCTTTCCTCACCCCGTCCCCGTGAGGGGGGTTGCGATCAGAAAGAGTGGCTCCTTCATGAGGACTAGAACCTTGTCCTGATGGGCTCTTCCCTCCTTTGGCCCCACAGCGTCTGCCAGAGGGGAGTCTTCACCTGCACCCAGGAGAACTGTGATGGTAAGAGGATTCAAAGGGGGTGGGGTTGGACTAGATGACCCCTCAAGGCTCTTCCATTACACTGTCATCCTGTAAGGCTCTCCTGCTCGAGCAAGGGGTTGGACTAGATGACCTCCAAAATCCCTTCCTCCTCCGTGGTTCTGCAAGGGTCTCCTGCTCGAGGATGGGGTTGGATTGGAAGACCTCTGGGGTTCCTTCCAGCTCTCTCTTCTGCTTGCTTGCTTGATTAACCTTTCTCTGCCGGGATGCCCTCTGGGTGCCTCTGTCCTCACTCGGCCTCTCCCTTCTCCAGTGCCCTTGCGCTCTCCCGGATTGCGGGGAGTGTGGCTTACTCTGCCCTGGCAACTGGATGGGTGGGCGTGGCCAACTTGACACCACTCCCACCATCGCCCCCCTGACCTCACCTGGCCACTTGCCAAGTGGGAAGAGGAGAGGCCCACAATTCAGCCAGAACTCCACAACAAAAAAATTCTTAAAATGGCCGCTGGTTCAGAAATTTGCTCAGCTGGGGAATTCTGGGAGTTGAAGTCCAGAAGTCTTAAAATGGCTGCCGGTAGAGAAATATTGCTCAGCTGGGGAATTCTGGGAGTTGAAGTCCAGAAGTCTTAAAATGGCTGCCGGTAGAGAAATATTGCTCAGCTGGGGAATTCTGGGAGTTGAAGTCCTGAAGTCTTAAAATGGCCGACGGTAGAGAAATATTGCTGAGCTGGGGAATTCTGGGAGTCGAAGTCTGTTGCTCAGCTGGAGAATCCTTAGCTGACCTGGCTGCTTGCCGGGTGGGAAGAGGGGTGGGATTCAGCCGGTTCACCGAACTCCCCCACAATAAAAAAAATAATAATTTGCAACCAGTTCTACCGAACTGGTGCGAACTGGCTGAATCCCACCCCAGAGGAGAGAGGGGGGGGAGTTCAAAGAGAGGGGGTCTTTCCTAGCTCTGACCCGCTTGGTGTGACTCCTCCGTCCCTTCCTCCCCATGCCAGCCTGTCCAGAGGGCGAACGCCGGCACCCTGCGGTTCTGCCGACCGCCTGTGAGCGCAGCTGCCGTCAGGTCTACGACGAGCTTGCCCAGAACTGCACCTGGGGGATGGCACGGGATGGATGCACGTGTCTGCCGGGGCACTACCGCAATGGCAGCGGGCACTGCGTGGTGGCCGCCCGCTGCGAATGTGAGGAGGGAGACCAGGTGTACTCGGTGAGTAAAAGGGAAGGCGGGAGAGCGAGCGGGGTTTAGTTACTCAGGCCAGGGACAATTAATCTAGCTGTGTTTTTATTATTGTTGTTATTGTTATTTTATTAGTATTATTATTAGTATTCTATCTACCACTCTATCTATCTATCCATCCATCCATCCATCCCTCCATATCTCTATTTTGGTCTATCTATGCATCTATCTCCATCTCTCTTTCTCTCTCTCTCTCTCTCCCCCCCCCCATTCATCCATCCATCTGTCAATCATATATCTTCTCCATCTCCCTATTTCTATTTATATTTGTTCATTCATTCATTTCATTCATTCATCCATATCTATTTATATAATCTCTATCTATCCATCATCTCTCTCTCTCATCTCTCATCTCTCTATCTACACCTGTCCATCATCTTTTTCTATATTTATATCTATCTATCTCCTACCTATCTATTATCTATCTATACCTATCATCTCTCTTTTCTCTCTCTATGTCTATCTCCATTTTTTTCTTTCTCTGTTTATCATCTCTCTCCCTCTATTATCTATATCTATCCATCTATCTCTCCATCCATATCTCTATCTCTATCTATACATCTATCAATTTATCTCCATCTGTCTCTCTCCATTCATCCATCCATATGTCTACCATCTACCATCATCTTTCTCTCTCCCCATCTATCATCAATCTATTTATACCTATCCATCCATCCATCCATCCATCATCTCTTTCTCTCTCTATATATATATATCGTTCTTTCTATATACTGTATATATATATTGAGCTATCCATCATCTCAGACAAGAGATTAACAGAATTGGAAGAGACCTTGTAGGTCGTCTTGTCCAACCCCCCCTACATCAGACCCTACATCAAACACCATTTCTGACAAATGGCAGTCCAATCACTTCTTGAAGGTCTCAAGTGATGGTGCTCCCACGATTTCCAAAGGCAAGCTCTTATCTATCTATCTATCTATCTATCTATCTATCTATCTATCTCTATCTATCTATCTATCTATCTATCTATCTATCTATCTATCTATCTATCTATCTATCTATCTATCTTTCTTTATCTATCTTTATCTGTCTATTATCTATATCATCTATCTATCTGTTAACTCTCTTATTTCTCTCTCTCTCTATCATCCATATGTATCCATCATTCTCTCTCTTCCTCTATCCTATCCTTCTGTCTCTCTCATCTAACCTCCGTCTAGGACCCTCCCCATCACACACCCCGGGAAACAGCCCCCTCCTGCGGGACCCTACCTACCTACCACCCGCCTTTCTTTCTCTCTCTTTCCCTCCCTCCACAGGCCGGAGCAGAATGGCACAAGGGCTGCGAAGTCTGCCGCTGTGTGAACGGCCGGGCGCTGTGCGAGACGAGCTGTCTGCCCCTTGTCTGCCTCGAGGTGCTTCCTCCCCAGGGGCCCGTCATTCTGTTCCATCCCTTCGCGGGGGGTGGGGGTGGGAGTCAACGGTCTCCCTCAGCTCAACCTCCTCCAGTCTGCCCCCCCAGGAACCGCAGGTCCGACATTAGCCCTGGGTTCGAGTCCTGCCTTCCACATCCCACCCACAAGTGGGGTGAAAAAAATCACCCCTTTCTCTTCTGCCCTCAGGGCGAAGTCGAAATGCAGGAGCCGGGCTCTTGCTGCCCCGTCTGTCGGAAGGAGCTGGTCGGTATGTGGGTCAGGGGAAGTGGTGGGGCCGCTAAGAGGAAGCAGGCAGCCTCAGCGGCAGGAAAGGAGCCAAAGGAACAGATCTGTCCCCAGAAAGAAAAGGAAAGAAAAAGAAGGAAAGGGGGAAGGAAAGAGAAAGAGGGAGGAAAGTAGGAAGGAAGCAAGGAAGGAAGGAGAGAAGAAGAGAAGGAAGGAAGGGAAAAAGAAAGAAAAGCAGAAAGGAGGGAAGAAGTGAAAGAAGGAAGGGAAAATGAAAGGAGATGAAAGAAAGAAAGAAAGAAAGAAAGAAAGAAAGAAAGAAAGAAAGAAAGAAAGAAAGA